CACATCCGTACCCCTTTTTTTTCCCCGCCCATTTCGACTGTTGTCCAGCCACTCCATTGGTCGACATCCTGCGATGATCCGTTGCTGTTAAATTGATATCCATTGTCTTCGTCAGCAGGGTCCATGTCCACGTCGAAAGTCTTGTTGGGGTCGATGGGCCATTCATCCAAATTTGGCGTTGGGCAATTTCCTGGCCAATCAGGTTGTTCCAGGGTTTGAGGTGACAGGGGTTGATCTTCCGTCAGGACGGGCCAATCAGGGGGTTCTAATGGTTGAGACAGAAGAGGTTGATCCTGCATCACAACGGGCCAATCAGATGGTTCCGGGGATTGCTTTTCTTCCCTTTTTTTTTCTTCTGAGTCTTTCACAGGTGCTATTTCTTGCCATGGTGCGTCTTCTTCAGAAGATGGGTTTGACTCATTCACGGGTATGGTTTCCACAACGTTTGAGGCTGGATTACTGACGATTGCTCTTTGAGAGTCCATTGCAGTGGGGTCATCTTTTTCCAGAATAGAACGGTCTCTTAGGGGACCAGCAGGCCATCTAGCTCTTGAAGCCACTACATCGTGCCAGGGTCTAGTCAATGCTAGTTCGTCCGGTGTCTTGGCCTTCTTTATACGATGTAATTCACGGGTATGGTTTCCACAACGTTTGAGGCTGGATTACTGACGATTGCTCTTTGAGAGTCCATTGCAGTGGGGTCATCTTTTTCCAGAATAGAACGGTCTCTTAGGGGACCAGCAGGCCATCTAGCTCTTGAAGCCACTACATCGTGCCAGGGTCTAGTCAATGCTAGTTCGTCCGGTGTCTTGGCCTTCTTTAGACGATGTACATGCACCCAATCGTTACGAGCACACCACCAAGAGTTTCCAACCAATACGTATCAGAGTCGATATTTTTCTTGAACACTCTATATGGTCCTTCCCATTGGGGTTCCAGGCCGCTATGTTTCTGCTCCACACGCTGTAATACGTAGTCACCCACGTTGAATATGACATGGTTAGCCACCGTGTTCCATCGCTCGGCATCTTGCTGGAATCTTGTTTTGGAGCGGTGCTCAGCTGCTCCACGGGCGTGTCCTAGTGCTTCCAGTTCGTCAGCAGTCCATCTTGCGACTTGGTCTTTATCCAAAGGAGCTTCCGTGTATGGTCTCAAAGCATCACCAGGCAGTACAGGTTCTCTTCCATATACCAGGTAGAATGGGCTGTATCCTACGGTTGCGTGTTTCCGAATTCTCAGTGCCCATAGCGCCGAATCCAGGTACAGGTCCCAGTCATGTTCGCACAGGAGAGCTTTATTCATCGAGCCAACACCCACCGCCAATTAGAACCTCCCCAAACTGGCGGCTTTCTACTTGACCTACCAAAAAAAAAAAACCAGTTTGTCCTAGAGCTTCCAAGGTCGTCCATCTCTTTTCTGTGTGTGCCAATCGTTTTCATCCAAGTTCATTTTTCCACCTGCCTCCGCCTCACCTGCGTGAGATTTCAAAAAGCAGCCGGACGCCATTAGAGACAAGCATTCTTGCCTGCCCATTCAGGCTGCACCATTGCTAAACGCATGGCCTCTTCCTGTACAGCACTGACCACCAGCACCCATTCTGGACATTGGCTGGCCGATCGCGGCAAACCTCATGTTTTACTTCCAAAGCATCTATAAAAAGTGAGCACGATCAGCTTCAATCCCAAATGTCCATTGGCCATCCCATCACGTACCAATAGCCTCTCACCCGCCATTGGTAATGACGCTGCCCATCCCTACCCATCTACCCATCAACCATATCCCCCCAGCGGATGAAGACGCAGCAAGGAAAAGGTAAAAAAAAAAAAAGAAAGAAAGAAAGAAAAAAGGAGGGAGCGGCGGTTCTTTTTTATTTTCCATGTTAGGCTTGCATGGCTGATTCAGTTTATGGAAGGACCATGGAACCTGGTCTGACCGCCAAATGGCATCTAAAACTAGTGCACGATGAGAAACAATGATGCGAAAAACTGTAAGAACTAAAGGGAGGGCAAGCGACGAAAAATAGCAGAATAGCTTGGGCAGCCGATGTTTTTTGTCTAGGTTTCCTGCCGTCTTTAAACTGGAAATGACCCAACGCGCTGCTGAGTGATTGTATTGATGTGACCAATCATCTCTAATGCATTGATGCAGAAAATACCATGCCACTTGGCGTTGGATCACCTCAGACTCCCCCGCTTAAAAGCCGATCAAACACAAAGAAAATAAAAATTCAAATACTGCGATGTGCGTGAGGCTCAAACAGAGATTTTTTCTTAGCACGGCTATTCTTTATTCAGCGATAAGACCTATGAGGCTTCTCTTTGCATTTTCTTTTGTTATGATCGTTGACGAAGCTCTATCTGCGTGTGGCACCCTCCGTCGCAGGGAACCGTCGATGCACACATGGACAAACCTCCAAACTGTAGAGCCCCATCAGCATTTGACTTTGCGTCATTGCCCCGGCTTCCACCCCTGTCAACGCCACAGCGCCTTCATCGTCTATTGCTGTCGCTTCATCCATAGCGCACCACCGTGGCTTCTGAGAGTGGAAACGTGCGGCGTGCCAAATGGTTGGTCGAGCTGAGTGCTGCATCCGCCAAGAATGTTAGGTCCCTTGTCAAAGTTCATGGTGGCCCACGGTGATGATTTCGTGCTAATGACATCCATCGACGTTTTCTGGCTAGAGGCTGGGTCCAGAACAAATCCTAGAGCAACAGGAAAATAATGAGAAAAGGGGGGGTTGCCTCATTTTGGCTCCCAACGGCCAATCGAAACCAAGCAGCCACCCAGTCCATCGTCAAACCTATACAAGTGCGCAAAATGGCCGGCTCCAACAGCGTACCTAATGTGACAGCAGCCATCGACCCACCGCCAAAGAAGCAATGCATCGCCATCACTATACTATTGTCATCCACGTTACCGTGCGACTTTTTTTTTTTTCCAATGCATCTATAAAAAAGAACGCGATCGGCTCCAAATCTACCGTATCATGCACTGATATCCCATCACGCAGCCATTGGTATTGATGGTCACCATCCCAGTCCGCTAACTCATCTTTCAACGGATGAAAACGCAGCAGGGAAAAGTTCTTTAAAAAAAAAAAAAGAGAAGAGCGGTGTGTTTCCACTTTTTTTTTTTTTTTCCTTTGAACGGTTCAATCAAAAACCAGCACTGCATAGCTGGTTCAGCTCATCACGAGGAGAGATGATCAATCCTGGAAAAAACTGCCAAACTGTGTCACAAACTAGCCCACGACGGGTATAACAGTGCGTGAAGTAATAGCAAAGTAACTGAGCTGCCGTGGCTTGCTGCACTTCCAGCTTGCTACTGCTGGCCGCATGCCAAATTGGGAGCACTGGCGGAGGTTGAATTTTGGTTGAAGCTGGTACTTTTTGTCTGGATCGCCTGGCTTGGCAACAACACTTTGCCACCCCTTTCGACTCCATCGAGTCAGTGACCACCTCCGTCACCTCCTCGTCTTGCCCACCGCTACGTCTGGGCACCTCGTCTCTTTCGTCCCCTCTTGTCTTCGGTTCCGTCCTCGCCGCCATCTGGTCAGTCCATTGGCGCCATATCTTTGACGAAGTCCCCTTCACCGTCACCAACGTACTTGCCACCGTCAATAAAGTCTATCCAGTACTACACGACGAAGCCCGCCTTCTCCCACACTCATCCCTATAACCGTCCTTCTGCTACCTCTTTGCTTTGACCTCTTGCTCTGCTACGTCACAGCCAAATAAAATTTCTGAAAAAAAAGTCTAGGATGGGTGCCGCCTCCGACCCCCCACTTAAAAATCGAAAAAATGAACTTGCTATTTTCAAATGCCGCGGCCGCACGCTTGCCAGATCTTTGCAGGAGGGGATGCCATTTTGGCCGCAACTACTGCTCTGCAAAAAAAAAAAAAAGACGGCTGACGCTGGCGTTGTGTCCGGCAAGCGCGTTTTTGTCCGTGGCAGAGAATTTACAAGGAATCCGAGATGAGCAATGATCAACGGGCGGGGATGGTGATGTGCATGGCCGCAATTTGGACAATGTCATTTTGGCCTCAACTTACACTCTGCAGAAAAGAAAAAAAAAAAAAGAAAGTCGGCTGACGCAGCGTTATTGCAGCAAGGAATCCGAGATGGACAAAGGTCAATGGGTGGGGATGGTGATGTGCATGGCTGCCAAAATGACATGGCAATGCCATTTTGGCCCCACTGTCCAAAAAAAAAAAAAAAAAAGCCGTTGACGCTGGCGGTGGTCCCAGCAAGCGTCGTTTTTGCCCGCAACGGCTCCAGTATCTATCGTTTTTTTTCAGCACGCTCGCTTCTGTCAACGTGGTATTGACATGCTATCGTATCAGAACGACAGCCCGGCGGCAGCATCTACTTGAATCGCCCGTTTTCTAATCCCTGCCCTGATTCTTTCGGCCATGGAATCGATCATCTCATTCTTGGAACTCACAACTCTAGCAATAGCCGTTTCTTTTCTGTCATCTGAATGACCATGACTTGCGCGAGAGATCGTAATGCCCAAATTCAGGATTCACCATCATGAAACAGAAGATCATTTTTTTTTTACAGCACACCAAAATCCCGCACAGCTGTTCTAAGCGCTGGCATTCAAGTCCGGCATTTCAAAGCAGCCCGGCCAGCTCCGACCCTCCTGTCCAATCAGCAGGCTGCAATTTTGCAGCAAACTTGATTTTCATGCCATTCGCACCGTGCCGGCACCGGAGCTGCGCATTGGCCCGGCAGGGTCCGATCCCGTCCGGCTGCCCCAATCATAGTGCTGCTATTAGCACCAGCTTTGGGTTCACGATCACCCGCACCGCGACGACCCCGGCACCGGACTGCCCCGGCCTACGCCGGACGTCGTCGCAGGGCTGCGCCGGCAGCCAAGCGGTGCCGGCCCCGCACCGCCCACAAATCCAGCAGAAATGACACCCCGCCAGCCAATCAGCGCGCAGAAAACGTCCCCGGGAGCTGACAGCGTGCGGCGAAGTCCTTTGAATAAGAAGGGCTTCTTGGTTTAGTGGTATAATACCCGCTTAGGGTGCGGGTGGTCCCGGGTTCGATTCCCGGAGAAGCCCACTTTTTTTGCTTGCGGGGCGTTGATTTTTGGGGGCAGGGATTGTCCAAAAGAGGCAGGTGGGGCTGTATTTTTTTAGGGGGAGAGGTTTATGTCGTTTTTTTTTTTTTTTTGCAAAAGCTCGAAGCAAGCATGTATTTTTTGAGGGGGTGGGGAGAGGGCACGGTTTTTTTTTTGGTTCGGTTTGTAGTCGTTTTTTTTTTTTTGCAAAAGGCAGGACTTGACGTGTGCGGGCACACTGGGTGTGGATGAGAGAGAACGGCACGGCGGGTGCCAAAGGATGCATGTCGGTAAAAGTTGTGGATCGTGATGGGGAAAAGGATTCATATGTTGGATGCATTGGTGCAGAATTAGGGTAAGCAAGTGGGTAGGGCTTCGTTGCGAAATAGCTGGGTGGTCATTTTGCGTTTCGCAAGAGGGAGGAAGGTGACAGACAAAATGGGGTTATTGCAATTCTTGAAGGAATGGATCAACGTTGGGTTTTGTGTGGGGTGGAGTCGTTGTGGAGCACATGAGTGGCAAAATAACTGGTCAATCCATGAAGGCTGGCCAGGCATTTTGGTGCCAAGTAGCATGGCTGGGTGGCTCGCAGACAAAGGCGGCCTTCCGATTGGCTGATTTTTTTCAAAAGGTGGCCTCAAAGCCCACTGATGCTCATTCACGACGCCTTGCTACCGTGAAGATTGATCCATTCTCTCTGTTACGGCAAATACAAAAAAAAAATAAAAGAGGTATCACTCATTTACTGGGACATCATCGGTCCTCTCTTCCCGCTCATCATCTTGTAGATTGCAATCTCCGTCTCTCCTATATATTCTCTACCCGCGTTACACTATCTCTCTTCCCGTTAATCTGATTTTCAGAATTGAACAGTCTTTTTTTTTTCGGTCTCGCTCTTCATCGACTTAGTCCCAGCGAACAGTTTTTCACAGTCTCATTGACGATTTAGAGACCTTTTTTTTTTTTTTTTTTCAGGAGACGGTCCCGCAAAAGCGGGTTTTGCAGTGACGGCAGGAGTAGTCGAGGCAGTGGTGGTGACATTGGCATTACCCGAGTCAGTCGAGGCAGAGGGAACAATGGCTGAATCAGACCGCTTTCCTCGATAGCAACCGTCATCTACGCATACAGAAAAAAAAAAAGTGAGCCACCACCTTTTCTTTTTATCAATTGCTGCACCAAGCAAACGATGTCCTACGATGGAAGCAGCAATAGAATCCCACAAAATCAGAGCATATGATTGATGGATCGGCGTAGATGACTCCATAGAACGGACCTGCGAGTTAGTCGAGTGACCAGGTTGCAAGTCCATGATCTGGGCGGTGCTGCTCATGCTTGCAACTTGACCTTGGCCAAGCTTTCTCCGGGCAAAGGCAATATCTGGCGATACTAACAGAGAGTGAGGGAGACGATGCTGGCCGTGGTTAACCACTGCATGAAACCGCGGCGAAGGCCAGAGGTCACCTTGCCATGTTGGTTCACAAACAGGTGCGTGCCAAATGAATTCACAAGTGATTGCCGAGGACAATCATTGACCAGAAGCTGGATAAAAATATTGAGCATCCGCTTTTTTTTTTTTTTTTTCTTACATATCCACTGTGGTGGATGAGGGCGAGATACTGCGTGACCAGCTCAGCGACTTTACGGGGCAGAAACCTCGCAATGAACTTGTCCATGTGCCGGTTCGTGCGGCTCTTTTGATGGAAAGGTTCCAGCATCAAAGCACTGTTCATCCAGAACAGGTTTCGCGGGTAGAAGGTGATGCGGTTGGCAGCGGTGATGGCGCTCTTGAAGCAGGGGATCTCCTCGACGCGGGCGGGCTCATCATATGACTAGTGCATGAGGGTGAAAAGCATGTTGAGAAGAGGAAACGCCTGGGCGAACCATTCCTTGACAAAAACCTTGTTCCATGGGCCAGCAGGTTGAGTGATGCGTTGCTTGATCAACGGGTTTTCCAAGAAAACACCAAATGCTGATGGTGGCCAAAGCGATTGGACGGGTGGTTTAGGTAGGAGTAGCCACAGACTGTTCCAACGCCAGCGGACGAGGCGTCGTCAGAAACACCATTGGCTTGGACAGGTCCTCATTCAGTTTCATCTTTCACATGGATACAGCTGCTCCACCGGAGAACGCAGGTCGCTGAACGGCACCCGGTTGATCGTCGCCATCTGCGGCGTGCTGTATACCGCAGTAGTGGCCAGACGGCTAGCCTGGCAAATGTCAGTAAATAAAGTGTGGTTGCCATCACGAACAAGGGGCAGTACCTGTCAATAACATTATCACTGTTGGAAAAAAAAGACGTGGATTAAAATGGCTGTTCACCTTTTCTTTTTTTTACGCAGGTGTCATTATCTGGCAGCAATATTTTGCGATCGAAACGAGCCTGATGACAAATGTACTTCATCTTCGAGGAAACGGGTGGAACAACCGCGATTTTGACACCAAAACTTGCGCGGCTCATCAGCGACAATATCATGACGATCTCCAAGACAAAGTGAGGGGGTCGGTTGCAAAGCAGATAGTTATCCGTCGCAGCAGGCTAGGTGATGATATTGTCGTCCATAACCTCAAGCTTTTGCGAAACCAGAACCACGCCAAGATCATGCTCAACCTCAGACACTCACCTTCTCTGACCTACCGATACTGCTCTTTCCTCCGCTTACAAGCTCATAAGCATTCCTTGTCATATCTCCTCAATCAGTCATTGCATAACCCTGGTAAACTATGATTTTACACATTCACCATGCCTCTATGTTGACAACCCATAAAATCCTTTGTACCTCTCGTCATTCACTCACTCTGCCATTTTTCTGTTGACCATTTCTTTCCAAATCGGGAATTGTGCATTTCGCCTATCGTCATCAAAGAAAGCCATTAGATCCCGCCACACATTTTCATTCTTCTTTTTCTCACATCTCCTTCAACATTGGTCTCCAAGGTCTCGCTCCAAGTGCCTTCGACAGGGATTCAAGAGCTGATTCTAGTGACTACGATAACGAATGGTGCCATATTGATTTTTGAAAATAAATTTTTGATAAACTAGCTGGAGCACATGAAGATTCCTTGAAGCAACATGCTGGTTAAAATAAGGTAGGCCTAGAGTTTGAAATGTAAGCACAGGTCCAATGTTTTGTTTTCTATGAGATGGAGAGTAGGAGGCTAGTCTATTGACTTGTCAACGACGACGCAATTATGCATAAAGTCGACACCAGCCTTCAGCCAAGGTTGGACTGCATCCTTGCGTTTGGCAATGGTGTCCATGCGGCTTCGTGAAAAGTAATGAGGTATGAGTCGAACGTGAGGCATTTCATGTACCTTTGACAAAGACAAAAGCAGAAGATTAGGCGCCCATGGAAAAAGACGACAGACCTGAAAAAAAAAGAAAGCAAATGCGCGGGAGTTGAAAATGAACAATCTCTACGTTTTGTAAAAAAAAAAAAAAAAAAAAAGGAAACACTGCACAGCACTTTTGGGTGGTCAGGGCGATGTGGTATTTTGTAAAAACACTCAAAGCAATAAATGATGATGACCCTGAAAAAATGACGTCGATTGGAGAAGGTTGCTCAGCCAATATTTGATCAGTTTCGTGTCGACTCCTCTGATCCACCAGCTTAAAAAATGAAAAAATCGGCCATTTTCACCAGGGGGTCCCCAAGCGATCAGAGCAACAACCGCAGTTCGCTTTCTAACCATGCGTAATTTTACGCCGGTTCACTGATATTGAAAGTGCTCTGCAGAAAATGTTTGCTTTTCAGATTGGCAAAGAGAAAAAGAGAACATGGATAGGAAACTGGCCGCCTTTGCTGACTTCTACTCCACTTTCAAAAAGTGGCCAGTCAGTAGGCTGCTGCTATTGGTTACAGGCTTTGGATGATGGCGGTTACACAAAAAGCGAGAGCATGACTGGACTGGTTTTTTTTTTTCACTTTCACTTTTTTTTTCTTCACTCATGGCAGAACAAGCGGCAGACCTTGCCCTCTTCGAATTGGCAGTGCATTGCTTACCTGGTAATGATCTAATGATGTTTTTTTTTTTAAAAAAAACAAGTGCGCATGACACCTTCCAACCATGGCCAACGGAGACAAGAACAGGAAAGATCGCAGACGTGATCTTATGAAGTCCATTCCTGTCGTCTTGATCATCGTTATCTCCAGCATTACGTACAACATCTCTTCATATTGCAAGCCATCTCGACGCCATCCCTTTATGCTCGAACACCGAAAAGAGGTTTCGGCAGAAACGTGCTACATCATCGACTTCCAAATCTGTCAGCAACAGTCTAGGAGGCTCTCCCTTTGCCGCCGCTTGTGGCCCTGTCTGCTTTTTTATCCGGATGTCATCGATCGCTTGCCTCTCATCCTCTGAATCAAGACCCAACAATGCTGCTTCCGTTGTCTAATGCAGGATGTGCATGACAACACTACGAGGCAGCGGGTGGAAGAAAAGCTCAATGCTGCACTGTCTATTCTCATGGCACTCCAAGAAAGGCAAAGAGAATCTGCGTCACTAAACACGCCACCCCATATACCACATCACCATCACTGGCTCCCCACGATAGCCAGACTGTCCAGCATGACCGATTGGCTTTTGCCAGCGAGCGTGTTCAGCTTCACAAGGAAACCACTGGGTTGACAAGGGCGTCTATACCATGGGCAGCAATTTACTCGTCAGGGAAAGAGCATAGCTTTTTCCAAGCATTCAAGAATGGAAACTCGATGCGCACCGTATATTATCGATACTAACTCCCTTCCAGCCAATGTTAGCAGCTTTGGTTTTTTTTTGAAGGGTAGCGGAACATTCAGGTCATGGTTAAAGCTATTTTTTTACAAAAAAGTAAGCTCGTCCCTTCCCCGATAGTGATTCTCCCATATCACCTTCAATATTGCTCTGTTTTTCGTGTTCTTTGGATCTATGGATAGCTGTGAATGTTAGCTTTCTAATGGTGAGATCGGAAGAGATGACATCAGGGCTTTCCGTGCAAAGAGAAGAGACACATTCCAAAAA